TTTAAAAAATTTATTTATCCTTCACATCACTCCAAACACATACACACAATTTTTCAGTAAAAAAAAACAGAGGAATACGTCACACAAATTTTTCATTTTTACTTTTAATTCCGATTAAACAATAAATTCTTCTTCGAAAATAAATATTTCCAGTGTGATATTGCTTCCAGAAGTAATTTAAAAAAATTAATTTATCAGGTGTCCTTCATGTTACTCATACGCACCATAATACCCTTGAATCAATTTTCCAAGAAAAGTGACACAATATTCACATTTCAAATTAGTTCCGCATCATCTCTATTTTTAAATTATAAATTTTAACATAATTAAACCGTTTTATGAACTTTTTCTTATATTGATCAGTTTAAAAATTAATTAGTTCCACACTAGCTGAACTACCTGTATAACTGCAGCACATAATTACACAGTTGAAAAAATTCTTTAAGCAGGTACGAATTGTTATAGGAAATAAACTGTAAACAATTCTATATAGAGATAAACTGTAAAGAACTATAAACAAAATATTTTTTTTAAGTTTTTGTATTGATTTTATTAATAATCATTTCATTATTGATACATAATCTGTAATGTCTGCAGAAGAAAATATTTTTGCCATTAATATCGTTTTCGAATTAGGAATAAAGCAGTGATATTTTAATGTGCCTTTAACTGATGTAGCTGCTTCGAAACGGTGTTTAATCTTATTTTCTTCAGCTTCATAGTCTTTTGATGTTGAGAAATGGCACAACATAAGATTCCTTTTTCTGAAGCAAGTTTTTTAGCTACAGTAATCATATGCTTTGTAGCGTTTGGAAAGTGAGTTGTGATTCTTCGAAAAGACCAATTATGTACCACACTCAATATTTTTATTTTCATCGTCCTATCTGCTGAGAAATTGAATTTTTCCTGTAGATTTTTTAAAATTGATGCAAGGTCATCTTCTTCATCGCTATTGTTGGACTCATCGGGAGGAATGTTGAAAATTTTATGTTTAATCGCTTCAGTTATATCCTTTATTTTTTCATTTTTATATTCCTGTTGTTTAAGTTTTCTCGATGTAATTGGGGTATTGCTTATTAGAGAGAGTGCTTTATTTAATGGACTAATAGCACTTTTTCTGACTTCAGTTTCGTATGTAGCCGAACTGCTATTACTTGATGGTTGAATATTTTCCTCGCTCGATGACTGGCTGTTGTTTTCCGATATAGCTCCTTCATTGTTCTTATTTTTTTTGGCTCTCATCTCCAGTCTCATTCGGCAACTGTTACATATTTTTTTCCTCATATTTTTTTTGGTCCTAGGCATCCCCAACATACGCAGGATACTATCTGAAACTTGCCTTACTTTGGCCTTTCTTGGATGTATTTTTAACTTCAGCGGATTGAAACATTTTAAGTCATTGAATTGCCGTAGATGCAATTTATTTTTTTCAACTTTTGCCATTATTTAAATGTTCTTACTTGTTTGTTCGCTTTCAAAACAGAAACTGAAAATTTATCAGACTTACTTAACATTTTATACCAAATTTGATACTGGATCTTTTAAAGATAGGAGTACCTAGACACTCCATTTCAAATTGTTTACAGTTCTTACCTGCTTAAAGAATTTTTCCAACTGTAGCAGAATAATACTCACCATAGAAGGTGGGTGTACTTATGTGCTTCAGTTATTCAGGTAGTTCAGCTAGTGTGGAACTAATTAATTTTTAAACTGATCAATATAAGAAAAAGTTCATAAAACGGTTTAATTATGTTAAAATTTATAATTTAAAAATAGAGATGATGCGGAACTAATTTAAAATGTGAATATTGTGTCACTTTTCTTGGAAAATTGATTCAAGGGTATTATGGTGCGTATGAGTAACATGAAGGACACCTGATAAATTAATTTTTTTTAAATTACTTCTGGAAGCAATATCACACTGGAAATATTTATTTTCGAAGAAGAATTTATTGTTTAACCGGAATTAAAAGTAAAAATGAAAAATTTGTGTGACGTATTCCTCTGTTTTTTTTACTGAAAAATCGTGTGTATGTGTTTGGAGTGATGTGAAGGATAAATAAATTTTTTAAAAGTAGTTCCAACGACAATATCGTCCTGAAATTTTTGAGTTTTATGTACAATTTTATTACTAATTGAAATCAAAAATATTATATAAGAATATTTGTAGTATATTTTTTGAAAATTCATTCAATGTAAATATAGCACGCATGTGTTTGATGTGTTTTATGAGAAAAAAAAAATTTAAAAAATTTATAAAAATCGATGCTATCATGAAAATTTTTATTTCTTAGTAAAATTTAAAACTGAATCTAAATAAAATATAAAAAATGAAAAATGTTGTGTACCCTTTTGAGATATCTTTTTTTTTGAAATTTAACGGTTAATATTAGTACTTAAATATAAACAATCTTAATTGTTTAAACAATTTCTTAAAAGCTCAACCAATTATCTTTAAAACGCAATAAATTTCAAGTTTCTACCTTTTATAGAACTTGAGATATAGCCATTTGAAATTGTGTCTACAATGCCAATTCTCAAAACCCCATGGGTCCATATCTCCTAGGAAAAAAATTACAAAATTTTTTCCCGAGATACGGGTCTTTTTATTTTATGAAAGGAGCTCATAAAAAAAATTTCAGCCAAATCGGAGGTGATGAGATCAAAAAGGTGTCCGGTTTGTAAAAGAATGACCCATATATCAAATGTGAAAAGTGAATATTTAATTAAAGTAGTTAAAAAGTGTTAACATATGACAAATCTTACAATCAAATTACAATGATACGTCGTGTATATCGATATTTTTGCTTTTTGATTTCAAATGTCAGTTCAAAATTATTGACAACTAAAATGACAATCAAAATTCTCGTGGGAATCCAGTCTCAAACAATATTTTTTTGTTAGTAAAGACAAAATCCATTGGGAATCCACTGGCAAATCGTTTACAGATGAATAGTCTAAACGACTTTTTATTTGTTTCTGTTCACAAAACTTGTGAGTATGTTCAATCTGCGGAATATTGTCATCAAATGAATATCACATAAACAATTTGATTAAGAATCAATAATATAATAACTAAATAAATAAATCAATTTACGTTTAAAACTTCTTTGTGGAGTGTAGAATTGTCTTAAAAATACCTTAACAAAGATTTTCAAAATAGCAAAAGTTACTACTAAAAAATAGCAAAAGTTACTACTAAAAAAATCAACTCTATATTCCGAATCAAACTTCCAAATAAAATTATTGGTATCCAATATACAGACAGATTAACAGCTAGTAAGCAATTTTAACTCGGTTTCTATAAATATTTACACAATATTACTTCTTTCCTAAATATTTTTATTGAATAATATGTCATTTATATGCAATATATAGTAATAGCTTTATTAGTTATTTCAAAAAAATTATTATCTTTTCTGTATTAAATTTATAACAAATCCTCAAAATATCCACTATGTAAATATTTTGGTAATAATTGATGAAGTTCATCCAAAAATTCTTTATTCATAAACTGGGTCTTGCGGTGCTCCTTTGACATGATCATTTTTTCTAAGTCGATATCTTTTTTAAGGAATTCGTAACGCATCGCTAAAAGGCTGGAGAGCATAAACAATTCTGAAATAAAGTAAACTCATGAGATGGTTAAGCAGGTTTGTAAGAGATCAATATACCAAAATGTTTGTGTTTCAAAAACATTGCTCTGATTTCGCTTAATTTAGGCACAACACCATCAAAATCTGTTTTATTTAGTGTTGACTTAAAATGACTGTAGTACAGATAGAGTAATTCATCGAAATGGTGCAAACGTTGCTCTCTGGAGATCATCATAAAGAACGCATTATATAAATCATTTACAATTGGCCCAATATAACAAAACTGAAAGTCGAGTAAGAGAATGTCTTCAACTTGTTCGTTTATGGGGTTGTTCTTAAGCATTAGATTTTTAAAATGAAAGTCACCATGACAAAGTACATATATTCCATCACTCTGTGGGTTTTCACGAAACTCATCAAATGTTTGCCGACATTTTTCAAAAATGTCTTTTTGAAGTACTTCAAAATATTTTTTATATATACGCAGAGTTGGTACTTCATTTAGAATTTCTATGAATATTTCTATACCGTCTGTCACGAAGCTATTATCTCGTATTGATGGTTCATTCATGACGCCATGTTGAATATTGTCAAATAATTTTGGTTCCTGAAAAAAAATATGTATATGAGATGAATTTGTTTCAATATTTTTAACGAACCTTTTTATTTAAGTAGTAACTTATCGCATGAAAAACTGCCAATTTTCGCATAACTTCTTTTATTTCGTCCATTTCGAGGTCCCGATCACGTTGTACGGCATATCCAAGTGGTACGAGGTCTTCAAAAACAATACACTTTTTAGGATGTAGACTGTAATGCAAACAGCTAAAAAATACTTTTCTATTAGAAATCAGTCTATGTAATTTCAAATGTGTTGAATATACTTTTACTGAACAATTCGTGCTAAACTTATACTACAAGTGGAATAAGCAAGCGTGTACGATTTCATATAAAAATTAAAACTGTGTTTTCAGAATGTCTAGCGTAAATAAGTTCAACTAAATTTGCAGTCGAAATATTTAATTAGAACAAAGGCAGCCTAGTAAAGTATGAACTTATAAATGGATATATCGCTGGTATGCGAAACAAGACATTCACATTTGCTGAAACTGGACAACATATTAACAAAATCTTCACACTTTTTTTAATTAAACTGGATTCGTCTTAGAATAGTCAGCTTATTGCTGGACTCATTTTGAGGGTCTGAATAACTTGATTTTCTTCATTCAGTTAAGAGAAATAGATTTTTCAATAACGAGTACAACGTTTTTGTTTTCTAGACATAGTCGGAAAATAAACATCATAAGATTTCAGGATTCATTTCATTCTTATTGAAATTCTACCAATTCATAAGTTTAAGATTATTTAAAAGAGTTATTTGAATTTTCCATTAACAAATTAATATTCATGTCGTAATTTACTAATTTAAAGTAAATCATTTACATAATTTACCAAATACATATTGAGGCAAATTCAAGACGTTTACCGTTTTATTAACTGTAACGTCCCCACATCAAGGATCATAAAAGGATCCTTATTAAATATTAATTTTCGTTTCGACTCAAAGCTTAATTATAGATGTCTTAATTTGAGTATACTGTGAGCCACCTAACAGATAACCTTAAATTTTTGGTTAACCGATAACCGATTTTCCTCAAATATTACATTTAAGTTTAATATCATGAAGACTAAATTTAGTCGCATCATTTTTGCTTCCATCTTAGTTTCATCCATGAAAGACTTTAAGGTACGACAAAGTAGTATGACGCATCTTTCTATGCTTTTTTAAAACATTGCTTTCAAACATTATATTAAATGGGTGAAGCCCATTGCAGGTAGTATATATTATAGGTTTTATCGGCACGTATATAAATTTAAACTTCTGTAATATTGCTGTAGTTTTGTGACGAATGGCACCTGTCGTAAGGATAATACTCATTGATTTTACTTCTTAAAATAGAAACGTAACTATGTTCTAAGTTGTTGGTTTTAATGTATAATTCAAGTGATGATGATAGTAATAAAGTAGTATAACATCTCGTCGATAATTTAAAGTCTTTATGAAATAAAATAAACTTAACGCCAAGCCAATGGAATACTTTGAATTTACCAAAGCTTTATATAAAATTGTATGAAATTTCCTTAGATTTTCACAGGATATTGATATTTGCAGCAAGCCAAGCCTAAATTTCTGAATTTTCCAAAATATTTCATTCAGTACTGTTTTGTATATTCTCGATTTTAAAACTTGAGTTATATTTTAAGTTGAAATTAAGATTTTCACTGATAGATCATTATGTGAGATGTACTGGCATAACCAGATTTTTAATGATGCAGAATTGATTTAAGTGAATTCTTTCAATTGGATGTATTTCAATAAACAAATAAACTTAATTAAGAAAGATTTTAAATTAATTTAAATTAAATTAAAGAAACGTGTGGTATATTGTTAAATTACTGGATGAACTAAGTATATTTTTTGTTTGTCGAAGGATGGCCCGTACTCCTTTAATATTTGCTAGATACTTTATTAGATTAATAATTGGAATTTGTACACAGTTGTAATAATAAGAGTTATAAAGTACCTTAATGTCAATTTTAATACAGATAATACGATTTTAGTTAGAGTTTATGATATGAATGCATATCATTTCATTGTATATAAGAAAAATTATTATAAGTTCCGTAAATCAAATATTTTTGTACTACTCCTATATTAAGAATATTCTACTAAAACTTACTTAGGACCAATTTTTGTATCATCACCAATAGAACGCAAAACTGTCTCGAATTTCGGTAAGATTTCTGTATAAATTTTTATTTCAGTTTCAAAGACATGTGTTTCTTTTAAAAGCTCCTTCTTTTGTCCCTCAACCTCAGGCATTGTTTTAATAATTACTGATTTTGTTTTCTGTGAACCTTTCAGGTTGTAATCCACATTTGCTCTAAACATAACACTGGCGTAGTGATCGCCCTTTACAGTGCCTGGAGTGAGTTTAAAATTGCTTACTTCCACGTCCTTAGTTTTTTCATAATTCTCTATTACTTTTTGGAGAAAATCGTTGTTCAACCATTCCGGCGCAACTAGTTCATCATCGTTAAAATTTTCTGATGTTGACATTTTGAGGATTAAATTTTTTTTATTTAAATCAACGCGGAATGAACATAAAAATATTTACTGCTTGATCGACCGACACTGAAATACTAATAATTTCTAAATAAAAGTTTAGTGTTTTATATTATATCGTTCTCTTTTTTACCTATCTAAGTGAGAGTTTATAAAAAATCATCAATTTTGAGTATCTTGGTTTTCGTCTTCATTAACGACTACTGTGAATTGGGCATACAAATTGAAAACCTACAACAAAAAAATAGCAAATTAGATATTACAAAGCTATTAAATTTGTTCTTCTAGAATGACAAGCAGTTTTAGTTGCTTTGACTAAGCGCCACGCTCCTCTTTCATACATTTAAAGCATAGTTTATTTAATCAATTTCACAAATACTTTCGTGAATTTCCGTTATGTTGATAACCAAACAGCTGTCGATAATTTGCAATTATTAAAAAGTAAAAAATTAATTAAAAAAATACTTTGATCAACAATATCACACAATGGAATATGCTGAGTTGTACTTCAAGAAAATTATTTGATGAAATTTTTGAATGGTCAAAAAAAATGAAGAAATAATCCATTCTCTATATAACTATCTTACCTTGTTGTGAAGAGAATACCTTTTTTTATACTCGTATGAGGAAAATTATATCTACTGCATTCGATAGGATATTGTTCAGAAAGGATCTGCGGGATAGTTTTATAATTTAGAGTAATATTTTCTTAGTACACATGTATACATATCCTATATCTGCTTACATAAGTATATACTTATAAATATATGTTTAATAAATAAAATCAAATATTCTCAAGCTCTATAATAAAAATGATAAACCCATTAAAAAAGTAACCATACGATATTAATGGATCACTCCCTTGCTGTTATTTAAACATAAAAGCTATATTTTACGAATCAAAGCAAATAAATATAAATTTCTAACCGAAGATATTGATCTATTTATTTTTAAGTATTTTATGTACATACTCACATTTGATATCATATTAATGATATTAAAGGGCTAAGACTACACTGTAGTAATTTCTAAATTAACTATAAATTTAATTATAAAAATATAAAATAACTACAAATTTAATTATCTATGAAAACAATTTTTATAGTAATTTGTGAACCTAACCTCTGAGGTTTCGTCGTTAAATGTTTGAAGCAAACATTGAGACAATGTTTGCTTCAAACATTTTACTACAAAAAATTATGCAATATATTATAAGAGTATGTTCGAGATGATGGAGTAAACAACTGTCATGTTCTGGTATATGATGTAATAGCTATATCATTATAGCTATTATTTTATGTTAAGTAATATTTTTGTTGAAACACAAAATTTTTAGATATTTTGCAAGTCATGATGAAAAAATTAATAATTATATATCAAATATTTTAAGTTTGTCACTTTTTTCGGACTTATCAAGCAACCTCGATATTAAATTCTCTTTTGTACGTAGCTTGCCATTCCACCTAAGCGTTTATTACTCTTCTCTATTTCGAATAATATTTTTTTAAGATACCCAGCAGTAAAATTGACAATGCAGTCTTATAAATGTATAACATATCGGTACAGCTTTCCAACATTTTTTCATAATCACGTATAGAGTTGATGTGAAATTTCATAGCATATCGCAACAAAATCATTAGTTTATATATTTTATATTTTTTGCACTCTTAGGTTACTAAATGTTTATTAGGAAACTATAGAGTGCAAAGTAGATAATAGTACAATGATAAAAATAGACTCTGTATTTAATACATTTAGATAGGACGATGAAAATAAAAATATTGAGTGTGGTACATAATTGGTCTTTTCGAAGAATCACAACTCACTTTCCAAACGCTACAAAGCATATGATTACTGTAGCTAAAAAACTTGCTTCAGAAAAAGGAATCTTAGAAGACCCAAATCCAAAAAGCCACCCATCGTTAGAAAAACATGTAACCGATGCAGTTTTAAATTTTTACGAATGTGATGAAAACAGTCAAATAATGCCTGGGAAAAAGGACTGCGTATCCGTAAAAATTGCCGGGAAGAGGACACAAATGCAAAAACGGCTCATTCTAAGCAATCTAAAGGAGTTACATACTCTTTTCAAACTCAGCCATCCGGACCTCAAATGCAGTTTTTCAAAATTTGCAGCTTTACGACCACAACATTGCGTTCTTGCAGGAGCAATGTAACTCATCACAAAGCAGACTTTGGTTTGGAGGCAGAATGGCACTTTTTCCCAACTTCACACGGCAAAGGACCATGCGACGGCTTAGCTGGTACCTTAAAGAGGAATGCTGTAAGAGCTAGTCTTCAACGAATACATAATCCAATTCAAACACCAAAGAAATTATTTAACTGGGCTAACGAATGTTTACCAAATGTTGTGTGCCATTTCTCAACATCAAAAGACTATGAAGCTGAAGAAAATAAGATTAAACACCGTTTCGAAGCAGCTACATCAGTTAAAGGCACATTAAAATATCACTGCTTTATTCCTAATTCGAAAACGATATTAATGGCAAAAATATTTTCTTCTGCAGACATTACAGATTATGTATCAATAATGAAATGATTATTAATAAAATCAATACAAAAACTTAAAAAAAATATTTTGTTTATAGTTCTTTACAGTTTATCTCTATATAGAATTGTTTACAGTTTATTTCCTATAACAATTCGTACCTGCTTAAAGAATTTTTTCAACTGTGTAATTATGTGCTGCAGTTATACAGGTAGTTCAGCTAGTGTGGAACTAATTAATTTTTAAACTGATCAATATAAGAAAAAATTCATAAAACGGTTTAATTATGTTAAAATTTATAATTTAAAAATAGAGATGATGCGGAACTAATTTGAAATGTGAATATTGTGTCACTTTTCTTGGAAAATTGATTCAAGGGTATTATGGTGCGTATGAGTAACATGAAGGACACCTGATAAATTAATTTTTTTAAATTACTTCTGGAAGCAATATCACACTGGAAATATTTATTTTCGAAGAAGAATTTATTGTTTAATCGGAATTAAAAGTAAAAATGAAAAATTTGTGTGACGTATTCCTCTGTTTTTTTTACTGAAAAATCGTGTGTATGTGTTTGGAGTGATGTGAAGGATAAATAAATTTTTTAAAAGTACTTCCAATGACAATATCGTCCTGAAATTTTTAAGTTTTATGTACAATTTTATTACTAATTGAAATCAAGAATATTATATAAGAATATTTGTAGTATATTTTTTGAAAATTCATTCAATGTAAATATAGCACGCATGTATTTGATGTGTTTTATGAGAAAAAAAAAAATTTTAAAAATTTATAAAAATCGATGCTATCATGAAAATTTTTATTTCTTAGTAAAATTTAAAACTGAATATAAATAAAATATAAAAAATGTTGCGTACCGTTTTGAGATATCTTTTTTTTTGAAATTTAACGGTTAATATTAGTACTTAAATATAAACAATCTTAATTGTTTAAACAATTTCTTAAAAGCTCAACCAATTATCTTTAAAACGCAATAAATTTCAAGTTTCTACCTTTTATAGAACTTGAGATATAGCTATTTGAAAATGTGTCTACAATGCCAATTCTCAAAACCCCATGGGTCCATATCTTCTAGGAAAAAAATTACAAAATTTTTTCCTGAGATACGGGTCTTCTTATTTTATGAAAGGAGCTCATAAAAAAAATTTCAGCCAAATCGGAGGTGATGAGGTCAAAAAGGTGTCCGGTTTGTAAAAGAATGACCCATATACAAGTGTGAACATGTCTTAAGTCGAAATGGGCAAGTCCGCTATTAAGTTGTTATATAAAACAATGCCCAACGCTAAGACCTGGTTACCCCAGTTTGTATGCTCTGTGTTCAGGTCCCCGACAATTGCGGTAAGGTTATGCGCCGTTAACACGTCCTGTGGACGTGATATATCAGTGATATCTAACGAACTATTTATTTGAATCAGCTATTCGGAGTCGCCGATTTTTTCCAGATAGTTCTGTCAATATTAAGATAAAGATCCCTACTGGATACTGGAGAATCATCTCCACCGCATAACCTGGGGTTAGGTTTGTAATGATAAACGTGAACGATTTGTCCTCAGGAGGGATGTACGTGAAGAAGTTGTACTTGGACTCTATCAGTAAATGTTTGACCTTTCTATCATCTGGCATGGTGAGGTTCTTAATATAACTGCATTTCAGATATTTTGTTTGTATATGTGGCCTCCTTGTCTACGTTGACGGAGCGATGTTTTTTCTTGCTATGTTTTTTTGTTGATTGCACTGAGTTGAAGTTCCGTTAATGCTATTGTTTATTATGTTGCTTATTGAGCATCTCTGATTCAAGATACTGTACATAGTGGAAATGTACATTGGAGCCATTTTCATTATGTACATCTTTGCTACTCTTCAACTTGTGAGAACAGTATATTTGATCATTCTTAAACCCATTTTTCGTTCGTCTAGAAGAAACGAAAGATTGTCTTTATATGTGACGAATATGCGCGAGTTGGGCGTCTCTTTCTGGGATTGTCACCGAATACTTCTTTGAAATATTTCAGTGTTTAGTCTTACTCATCTTAGGCTACAACATAGCCGCGGTCATGGCATAAATGCATGATTTTTTACATATATTCCATACTTTTATGGTTTTGATTTTATCGTCCATGTTTGCTTATGATTTTTATATTTTTGAGGCAAAAATAATAGTTACTTGCGCGTTTTAAAACAAAAAGCAGAGTAAAAGAGTTATTTGTGAAAAACTAAAAAAATAAAAAGCACATGATAAAAAGTCTTTCTGAAAAATATAATATAAAGCAAATATAATTATTCTCTTTTGAGTTATATTTTAAAACACTCATATATAATAATCATGCACTATATTAAGGATGAAAGTTGTTGGAATGGCAATTATATACTTAAATATGAGTTTAGACAACTTTTTGTTGCTGCTTGGGTGATTTTCGGTACCTGTTATTAACTATATTAAATTTTAATAATTTTAATTATTTTAAATTAATATACTAGCTTAGTTGTATGAACTCACTCAAAATATGAA